TGCCTTAAGGGCAAGAAATCATAGGAACAACTATTGAAATAGGATAGCTTATCAAAGTGGTCTTCAATTAAACAAATGCCTATTTAGGAATATTTTTCCACATTTGTTAATAATTCAACAAACATCTATTAAACACATTTGATGTAAGATTTAGATGCACATATCAATATTATAGAGGAATGCTCCATAACTTCAAGATGCTTATAGTCCACTAGAGAAATATATGTATATATATGATAAAATTATAAGTTAAAAAGAAAGAAACATTTATGAAGTCAGGTATTAGCAGAAGACTAATAATTCCTATTAGAGAGACTGAGGAGGGCTTCATGGAGAAAGTGGTATTTTAGATGTTTAAGGATGAGTAGGATTTTAATAAATGGAGAAGGGGATAGGATGAAGGCCATTTAGGCTTAAGGATGTAGCATGTGCAAAAGATATGTGGTAATGAAATAGTCGATGTTTTCAGAAAATGGCTCATGAGACTGGAGCGAAGATAGTATATGAGTGTGGATAAGTTGGCTAGAATCATGTAACAGAGGTCCCTGAATGTTGCACTATAAAGCTTTGACTTCACTCAGGAGGCACTGGGGAGTCCTAGAAGGGTTTAAGCTAACACAGACTTCTACTTTTTCCTACCCAGGTATAATCTATTGTCTACAGAATAGCCAAGAGATCATTTAAAAATGATCAAACTATCCCATGGCTTCTTATGTCACTCAGAATGAAACCAAAGTCCTCGTCATAGCCCAACTACATCTCTGATCACATGACCAATTATTATTATTTGATCACATGATCAAATTATCCCTCCTAATTTTACTTAGGATAAATAGCAGTATGATATTTGCAGGCAACTAAAAACATGGCAGAGAACCTGCAACAGATCTTGCCATCCCAGAGGCACAACTAGATTATTCCTAAGGAGTTCAGGACTATAGTTGGGGACCTATAGATTCATCTATGCTCATTGTCTTTTGCAGCAACAGTATGATGTTATAAAGTTGAGTACATGTTCTGCTCCTATGTAATCTACCTAATGATTTACCTTATTGCAAAAAAATGCTGAAGGGAGGTAATCTTCCCTGTACAGGTTAAAATAAAATAATAATGAGCCTGAAACTAGAAAGAGAAGAAAGATTCAGCAAAACATGGGTGGGGAAAGAAAATACTCTTTGAAAAAGGAAGTCAAGGTATTGTGTCTCCTGATAGGTTTATGGTGACAGTGGGAGAAATGGATTTAAATCAATAATCATTCAACAAATGTTTACTGAGCACCTACTAAATACTAGTCTCTGTTCAATATCAAAGATAACAGATAAATATAAGTCTTGGCTTCAAGAGGTTCTTGGTTTAGTAAGGTTGAGATGTCTAAATATTATGTTTTCAGTTACTAAATAAGATGGAGAAAAGAGAGGAGCACTTAATTTGGCATGGAGGACTTTATGAAGGTTTTTTTTTTTCCTTTTTAAAGGAGGTGATATTTGAGCTCAGTCTTGAAGCTAATTTCTAATAATAGCTAACAGTTATTTTCTTTTATCCCTTAACTTCAAATAGTTAATTGGGATTTAATAAGCCAAGCAAATCTATTGAGCCAAACAGTACTGAAACCTTTAACTGTAGCATCATTAGCCCTGTTCTTCAAACAATGCAGTTTGATAGTCATACTCACACAGAGACCACACGTACTAAAAGTCAATCATTGGGAATAAAGTTTTATAATGATTGCATACCCAAACAATGGAATGCCATGCAGCCATTTTTAAAAATGAAATGTATATCTACTGAAATGTGTCTATCATTGCATTTTGTAAAAAATAATTGCACTAGAAACCGTTACCTGAACTACTCGTCTGTCATGACTTCTTAGCGAGTCCTACCATGTTTGTGCATTATCCTTATAGTTGCATATATCCTACTGTTCTATATGTGCTCATTTATTTGTATCCCCAACTGGAATGAACTCTTCTTGAAATAGAGGATTAGGTTTTATTCATCTTTGCCTATGTTATGTTTAATTCAACCCTCAGCACATAAAATATGTTCAGTATAGAGTTCAGGAGTATGAATGATGATAAATGACTTGATATTAGGTATCTGACCTCACATTCCCTTGATTAATTTTGCCCTTTTTTTTTTTGGCCTACTTATTGTTTATATGATAATTATTCCACAGTCCATTGCCTATAATAATTGTAGGCTGGCAATGCAGCACCCAGCTTCTTGTTTATTTTAGGACTAATAGAATTATTATATTCACAAACAACAG